TCTTCTGGTGGACTAATGCTTTCTTGGAGTTAAAGGAGCTGAAAGGCCTGCTCCAGTTTCAGGGTTTTTATGTGTTTGTTTACTTAAAAGAGAGATTGGCACCTGGGGATAGAGGGCTTATTTACAGCCCCTAGCAGCAGTGTCTTTACCACTCTAACTTCTCCACATTTTGCAACAATAACACCACCAACCTGTATGGATCACTATATGATTTTAAGGGACAGACCAACACAAAAAGAGGTAATAGAAAAAAAAAATCACACATTATATATATATGAAATATTCTGAATATTGTGAAATCTATATAGTGTTTCATTAAATGAATTAGAAACAACCAAAAAGTATGCTGTGGCGCCTCCCAGTCAAGTGTGTAAGAACTGCTAAGGAAGCCAATGAGAGACATTCTATTCTCTCTGAATAAAAGCAGCACATCACCCTTAACAGCCATCCATCCATTTTCCGTCATGCTTATCCCTGCAGGGGTCACGAGGGGTGCTGGTGTCTATCTCCAGCTGTCTACAGGCAAGAGGCGGGGTACACCCTGGACAGTTCGCCAGTCTATCTCAGGGCAACACAGAGTCAAAAAAGACAAACAAACCATTCATGCACACAGTCTCACCTAAGGAGAATTTAGAGAAACCAATCATGTTTTTGGACTGTGGGAGGAAAGCGGAGTACCTAGAGAGAACCCATGCATGCACAGGGAGAACATGCAAACTCCATGCAGAAAGACCCCGTGCCAAGAAGTAAACCCAGAACCTTCTTGCTTCATGGCAGCAGGGCTACCCACTGCTCCACTGTTAACATTTTAGCTAAAATGAATTATAAACCACATAAAACAAATGAACACAATCTCAAAGAGGCACACTGTCACTGCTTGTAAAGCCTCTGAGAAGAATAACATCAGCTGATAACTGTTGCATCGGAGCATGTCCAGTGCAGGAAAATAAACAAATTAACTGTCTCGGCCAGGGGGACAGACTATTTGCTGCACTAGACTGTCCTATTTTAACAAAATACCAATAATTTGCATGTTCAGCAAAAAGCCCTGCTATTATTGCTAAAGATCTGCTCCTCATAAATTGTCATGTACGTAGACTCACATTTTGTTTTAGTTATAACTTATTTTTCTATATTTGGTTTGTTTGTCATCCCTCTCCCTGGACAAAGGGTTAGTGGGGGGGGAAGAACCGTAATTTTGCTTGTTTTAAGCTCCTCTACCACCTACAACATGTTTTCAGATTTGGGTACACTGTGCAGGCGTGAAAAGCTTCCTTTTCAGCTACTTTGATTAAAATCAGTGAAGCAACACGGCATCTTTCCATAAATACATAAAAGAGTAAATTGCCCCTTACTTATTTATAAACTACAAATTCCAAGGCATAAGAACGCCTGCATTCATGATGTTATGTTGTTAGACTTTAGCAGAAAATGTATTTATAAAATTAATACGTGATTTTTGCTAATAAGAAGTCAAATTTGTTACATACTCTCCCTGCTAACAAAATGCACCCCAAATGCATCTCACACAGCATGATGCTGCCACTGCCATATATTAGGAATACTCAGTTTTATTCTGAATGATAGTTCGATAGTCATATGTGTTATTTATTTTTTTTAAGTTGAATTTTTAACTCAGCGGACGAAAGAACCTGGATACACATTTCTTTGTTTGCATATTCTGTGGTAAAATAACTATATTAATCTTTCAGCAAAGACTAATGCAGAGCAGAACTAAAGATTATCTTGTCAAAAAATGATTCAAGTTTGGAAAGCAAAGAGATGAGTACAAACTAATTATTTAATATATTTATAATTAAAATGCACTAAAAGGGAAACCATGTTTAACTAAATAAAAAAAGATTCAAATACACAATGTTTTAAATAAAACAGATAATAAAACATTTGCATGTACAAATTTTCAGTTATGCAGGTCATTGTTACTACAATGACAGGCTTAAATCGGAGGCTCAAGGACATTAGTTTAGTTATCCTGCAGTCGTTGCAAGACCTACCTGGGCGTCCTGGTCAGTTTGAAGTGATCCTCCTGGAGCAGCCTGTAGTTTGTGTGCCGCTGTTTTAAAGAATATGGAACCCCATCTGTCATGATGGGATAAAGATGTCTCACCCATATGCAGAAACACACGGAGGTATGGAGAAAGTTCAGAAGGTTTATTGAAATTAGTGTAAATAAAATGTGAACGGGAACTGGGGTGGTCAGACTGGTCACGGCTGGATCTTGGGGGGAAACCTGTGAGTCCAGAGGCTAAACGGCAGGCAGAGGGCTGAGGACTGAGGGCTAGGCTGAGACGGAGACTGAGACTGAGTGCAGGCTGGCAGGTCTCTGGCTGAGAGAAAGGATTCGGATCTGCAGGGGGGATGGGAACCTTGTGAGTCCAGAGGCTGGTTGACTGGCAGAGGACTTAGGTCTGAGGCTGAGGCTGAGACTGAGACTGAAGGCTGGCAGGCAGATTCCAGGCATGGGCAGAGGCAGAGACTCAGACTTAGTGCAGGCAGGCAGATTCCAAGTTGAGGTCTCTCTCTTCAGTGTTACAGGTTTCCAGGCAAGTCAAGTTCATTACTGGCTAACACTCTGGCGCCGGAGTATCAGTCTCCTCCTAAAATGTGAATAGTTTTTTTTCCACTACCTTACTGTCCTTTCCTGCCTAAATCAAACTTCTTGGCTACCTTTTGGTTTCTTCACTCCTAAATGCTTTCCCTGCCCAGACTGGGTCTTGACAGATTTATAGTTATGTCAAAGCCTTTTTTTTTTCAGTTTTAATAGATTGAACAAAACTTGGGATATAATTTCATAAGCGATCCACATTTTGAACTTTTCCATAACTATTTTAACCACAGCCTGTGTGCTGTAGTCTTTGGTCCTCATGTTGCGGTTTGTGCTCTAAAGTTCTCTATCAAACCCTCTGACATCATTGCAGAATTATTGGATTCATACTTTAATAATGTGTGTATTCTATACATTTAAATAAGTTATGTCAGATTCATCCATATGTTTCTTTTTGTCTGCCCCTGCATATTTACTCTTTTTACTCTCCTGCTTCTCTACCTTCTGTGGCTTTAGCTGTTCCTCATGTCTTCCCAAATCACTTTTTCCTTTATACAAGCTGCCTGGTTTCCATCTCTTGTCATTGGTTCCTTATGATTCCATACCCCTGTTCTCTGTTTCCTTTCCTATGCACCATATCCTGATTTGTTTGGAAAAGCTCATAATGTTGACCTGTTGTATCATTTGAGGGTTGCAAGGCGGCACAGTTTGTAGAACTATTAGCTTGCATGAAAAAGATCCTGGGTTCAATTCCCGGCCCTGGGTCTTTTTATTCATGGAGTTTGCATGTTCTCCCTATGAATGCATGGGTTCTATCTGGGTACTCTCTCAAAATACATGACTTTTAGGATAGATGAAGCAGGAGAAGATAGATGGATTATCATCTCACTGTGTTTCCCTGGTATTTTGAGCATACAATTGACCAAACATGACAGTATTAACGCTCAATAATATGCAAACTCTTAATTTGAGTAATTGAATTGCCGCTTTGGGCTCTTTTCTTAAGTATTTTATTTGTTATCCTTCTCTTTCAGGTCACAAACATTGTTGTTAGGTTAATTGGTTTCTCTAAATGACCTCTTACCATGACTTTTGTCTTGCAAGGAGCTTAATCCTTTATATTTCTGTGCTGCCCTTTGAGAGACAGAGGATCTGTTCAGGGTATACCCCTTCTCTCCCCCAATCCACTGGAGATGGGACTCGGGCCTACCTGTGACCCTGAAAGGACAAGAAGGATGGATGGCTCTTCCTTCCACTCTACAAGTACTCCACATTGTTCTATCACATCAAAGTATTGAAGTGTTTTGTTGTCAAATGAATAATAAAGGACACCAGTTGAAAGAATGCTTGGTGCTTTTTGTCCAGACATGAGGTACAGCTTTGAATGAATCTGGCATTAATTTCATGCTTTTAAACAAGCATTAAAATACAGAGAAATTCACCATGTATAAAAAAAATGCCAACATTTCTCTGTTTTTATTCTTCACATCCCAGTTATTAGGGGAATTATTTCTGAACAATTGCGTATACAGCTGAGAGGAAAGTCTAATTGAGCTTCATGCACTCTAGTCAAAAAGTTTCTGAGAAAATCTAATTGTATACTAACTTCAGCCATGAGAAGGAACGAGAAATAATTTGCGAATCACCCGACTGAGCGATGGAAGAAATTGGATCCTCTGGTTTCCGACAGTGAACCGAAGCTCTAATTTAAATATCCAGGCAAAAAAATCCTCTTGTAAAGTGAACCCACTTGTTCATTACCAAAAAAAAAAAAAATAAAAAATTGAAAGAAAAGGCAGATGGAGAACAATCAGTGTCAGCATTCACCTCAATTAAAGCCTGTCTGATCGGAGCCTCGGACCGTGGGATCACCCAGCGCCTTTCCATTATCCTTTGCCCGTCAATGGACACAGCGAAAATGAAAGTAGATTTAAAGTGACCCACCTTTGTTTGATGCTCAGTGTTGAGTCTCATTAGCTTCAGCTGAAGGTTTGCTTAACAAAACATCAGAAGAGAAAGACATTGATTAAGGGAAAGGCTGAAAGATAATGTATTTGGAAGAGATGACTTTTCTTTAATTAAAAATGAACGGTTTATCCTAGCTGGTGTCCAGGAGCCACTCTGATTACAAAATAAGACAAAAGGATGGAGTTTGAGATATCTGAAAATGAGATTTTAAGTATAATACAGACAGGCAGGGCTGCTGTGAAAGATGTGCTTACCAATCTCTGTCAACAAGGAGCATATGTGTATGCTAATAAGATTTACTTCTTCTTTTACACATAAGTGTAAATCAACAGGCTGTTCATCGGGGAGTGTCTGAGTGCTGTGTCAGCACGAAGGCACAGCATATGATTTTCCAGCCTCACATAGATGTAATCAGAGTGTCAGAGCAGTAGATGGGGAAAAAAAAGGAGGGCGTCCCTCTTGTGGTCCCACCCCGGCCCTGCCCCACTCTCATACAGAAGTATCCTTCAGCAGATCCCCCCCAAACTGGAAAGTCATTCAGTCCCTTCTGAATGGAGCGTCTTTAACGTCAGAGTGCAGGAGTTAACGTTCAGCAGCCCAACCATGAGAGCCCTGCTACCAGTCCTGGTCGGTGCCTTCCTGACCCCGCTGATCTGTCTCCACAGCCCTGTGCATGGAGGTAAGCGCCACTGCAAATCACTCTGTTAGTGTCCTGTTTGCTCCTGCTCCCTTCTGTCAAGTCAAAGATATATGAAGGGAGATCAGATCCCTGTCCCTGACTTAAAGCTTGGTCGTTGCATAAATCAAAGTATGACAGGCTGGAGAGCTAATGCATCAAACTTCCTCTAAACTGTCTCCAACTTTAATGCTATTTTTTTTAAAGTCCCTCCTTGCTTTCACATTCTCCTTGCATATTTCATTCATTGTGTTGAAGCCTTCCTATTTCTTGAATTTGGGAAAAGATGTGCCATATTCTAATCCTGGTTCAAGGTCTGATGTGACATCTGCTCTCATCAAATTTCAGATTTTTTTCTTTTTTTTGCCTTTTGCCTCTCAGCCTGCGGTGAAAATTTGAGTTTATTATTCTTGTGAATGTTTACCTTTAAAGCGTGTTGCCAAAAGGTAGGAGGTTGTGAAGCTGAAGCCTTCTGAGCTTATAGATGCCCTGTGTCGGGTGCAATGAATGGCTCTTTCAAAGGAAAGTCCACGGTGACGAGAAGAGCTGCTCCTTATTCACCCGGGGAGAAGAGATGAAAGTAAGGGAGCTATAAATGTGTGAGAAAGGCAGCGTGTGTGAGGGAGGTGGCTGCTTTATGGCTGAGGCCCCTACAATGGTCCCTTGGGACTGGGTGAAGTGGCACAGGTATCATTTGTCCCTATTTGATGCAAAACCAAAGGGTCTTCAAATTAAAAATTAACAATTCTAGTTAAGAAAAAAAAAAGATCACATAAGCATAAAAATGTATGAATGACAAGTTGACAGCTTAAGTCTTGGGCTCGGACAGCTGTTGAGCACGCTGTTTCCCCCCATTTCTGCCTTCAGATCTCCAAAGTGTCAGCACACATTCCACTTCAATTAAGTCCCTGCCAAATCTCTCCAGGAGAGGCTCATTGGCAGTTAACGTGGGGAAAAAAAGTAGCTTTGATCAGAACACGAGAATAAGGCTTTGTTTTGGTGGCACAGAATCAAAGCTCAGCTGGGAAGCCATACTCGATTTTCCTCAGCGCTGTGATCAATTCTTCAGAGGCATAAAAAGAGTCGTCTGCCCCTCCTGTTTGCTCATTTGCAGATAAGCCTCACTGAATGCTGTGAGGACGGTGACACCTCAGCTAGAGGAATTAGCAGCACATCGACCCGACAGTGGCTTGTCGGAGTGTGGTCAATCGCATCTGCTGGCAATTTGTGAGGCACAGTTTTCATAACGGTCTGAAGTATGGTGCAGACATCACATAGCTTTAGAGCCGGTGCTGTCGGGGTGCACGATGAATCAAATACAGTTTGTTGAGGATTTGCCGTGCCTTGCAAAATATACTCAAAGGCCTTGAACTTTTCAACTTTTTTCCACAGAGAGTTGATAAGTTTCACTTTGATTTTATATGTGACTCAGACTACAGAACAACAGTTAGTCTAACACCTTGCAAATGTTGACATTTATGGAGGAATTAAAAGAGGAAAGCAATTCTGGAATTAAAATGATAAGAACCTATAAAGGTAGTTTGCGTGGACGAAATTTGATTTCAGAAGTGTGTGTGTATGTGTGTGTGTGGGGGGGGGGGTGCAAGTATTTTTTTGATATAACTAACTTCTGCATTTTTGACCATCCAATCACAGACCTGATTCAGTGGCGGATCAGATGTTTGTCAAATGCGCTTCTCAGGAGTGACAGCGGTGACAGCCAAACAGACTAGAAAAGATGGTGGGGCAATCAGGAGCTTGTGGGCGGTCTAAACTCAGGGATGTGTGCTTTAGCTTGAGCTGTGGTTTTTAGCTTGGTCCTAGTGCTCGATGAATGTCTGTGTACTTATTGTAACATTGTTTTTGGATGGTAAAACATGCAGGGGACCAAAACAGATTGTCTATTAGTAAAAAAAGAAAAAACTGTGAGTGGGTCCGAGTAAAAAACCCAAAACCTATTAACTGGAGTACACACACACTTCCCCAGATTAAACATGGTAGTGGCAGCATCATACTGTGGGGATGCATTAATATAGGAATAGGAACATCAAAACTCAGAGTTGATGGAAGCTGATGCTTCAGAGGGAGCAACGGGGCAACACCCCATAGCATACAGTCAGTACTGCAAGGGAATGGTTTAGCTAACAGCTAGATACAGTTTTTCAAAATCTATGGCAAGGTTTCATGTCTATGTGGCAACATTTTATTTTCAGAAATGCTCTGCATCCAATCTGACTGGGCTTCAGCTGTTATGGCAAGGAGAAAGGGTTACAATCTCAGCATCTAGATGTGCAGAACTCATACAGATATACCTTTGCAGATACATTGACCCTAGATTCAAATCGACATACTCAACCTAGAAGTTTGATGGGGCTGAATATAACCTGAGAAAATAACACTTGGAAAAATGAAATACAAAAAAATGAATTACTTTTCTTCCACTTCACAATAAAACACAATTATGTTGGTCTGTTGCATGAAAATTAGATAAAACGTGTTGAAACATATGGTATAAACAGGGTAGAAATTGGAAATGCTTAATGGCTTTTGCTGCTTTCTTGTAGGACCAAATGTTCCTCTAATGAAAATGATAGTAGGATGAACTGGGGGGAAAACTGCACAAAGGAGAGGTTTCTCCTAATCTAATTACATGTGCTGGCAATTTTCCCGCCTTCTCAGTGTGACAGAACTCCCCCAGTGACCCCGGAGACCTAAATGTTAATGTTGACCAGATGTACCAGGTCCCTGATTAGATTCTGGGGCCCCTGATCGCTCCAGAAAACACCTACCACAAGCTGCTGATAAGCTCTTATGTAAATGATCAATAAGGGTAAAAGAGGATTACAACTTTTTCTTGAATTCCCCCAATTCTAATGTCAACGCTTTGCTGTTCATGTGATTTCTGTTGCCTTTTACTGTCATCAGTTTGTTCCTAAGAGATCTGTATGTACCAGTTTGGTCCTAGAACATCTTGCACAAAGTAGAAGTTGTTTAGATGAGGCACAGTGAGCCTCCCCTGTCATAATAAAGTGTTCTCACAGGCGTAGCCTTACAGTTTCGTGTGCTGTTATTTTCTGCTAGTAAAGGATCTAGGTTCCATACCTGTGCTGCAATTTAGGCATCACCAAATCATTAACAGGGCAGATTCCATGTCTCTGCTTTCATGTAGAAAACTTTCTAAGTAAGATGAAGCATGTAACTGCTGATGCATTTTGGCTAAATGTAGCTGCTTCTCCTACCAAACTGCTCTAATCACTTTGAAACATTTCACTTGAGGGAAAAAACTTTAAGTGGAATTTCAACCTTGCACTTTGTTGCAATGGTCCCTGTAAAGATATGAAATAAAGTATGAAGTGTTTCTGTACATAAAGATGGCTCAACCTGTAAGAGGATTACCAGAACCCTAAAACTGAGCCTCGGGGCCAATGCAAAGGTCATACAGCTGTTAAAAAGGATGGGTTCTGATTAAAACAGGTCAAACTGAGGTCAACTGTAGATATTTAGCGCATATGCTCTGCATTATGTCCAGAGGTATGAGTTCTGTCAGCATTACCACTGAGGTTGCAGATGTGGAGGGTCATCCTGTAAGTCCTTAGACCATAGTGTATGCATCAAACTGGTCTGTATGGCTGTTATCACAGAAGGAAGCCTTTTCCAAAGCTGATGCACAGGAAAGTAGCTAAGTGATACAAAGACATAAATTAGTGGGACCATGTCCAGTGGAATGGCACAGGGGCGGAGTACAAAGGCAGGTCTGTCTTGCCTACAGTTAAGCATGGTGGTGAGAGGGTTATGGTTTGGTGCTGTACGGATGCTGGTAGGCCTTAACCATTTTGAGCATAAATTTCCCTAACGCTTCAAAGGTAGCTACTGGAATAATCTGCAAAGACTCTGTGACTTCATGGAGCTGCCGGATGTAAGAAACCTTATGCTCTTCCACCTCCAACACTTAGAGGTGACGCATATTACCAGATGTAACACGCCTCAGATTTTACAGCACTAAGGGGTCAGATAGTCGTCACTTAAAACTGTTTTTTTCTAGCGGTTTTTCTAACATTTTCTAACGGTTAAGAAATAAGGTAATCTGACACAACTTGTGATGATTGGTCAAAGTCCTACAAACTTGAAAGTCTCACCAGATCTGAACTAATGAACACCCTCCTTTTGTAATACTATGCATCTTTTTTTTTCTTTGATCACCCGGCTAGATATGATTGTGTTGATGTCAGGCTTGAAATATGTTAATGTTTGCCAGAGACTGAAGACATGAGTTAACGTGAATGTACGACAGCTTCCTTTTATTTTATTTTATTTTTTTTGTTTGTTTGTTTGTTCCTGCTCAGTATCCCATACTCATGTGAGATGATAAGCAACACAGTGTATAATTTTCTATTTTTTCTGTTTTTCATAACACAAAACTAATAAAAATGTAAAAAAAAAAAAAAAAAAAAAAAACTGAAATGAAGTCATTTTACTATTTGTTTTAGAGTTTGGTTTGGTTAGAGTTGTTTTTTGGTTTTTGCTAGTAGCAAATTAGATTTCTACATCAACGATTTCGCTTAAAGGAATAGTACACCCAAAACATGATTAGCCTTCATTTTCTACTCACCCCCATGCTGAACAACACTCTGGAGTACTTTTTTAGAATGTTTTTAGAGCATAAACAGTAGTGTATAGGATTTCCTGAAAGCGCGCACACGCGCGCTCACGACGCTACGGAAGCCGGCAGACCAAGCCAGATGAAAGT